GTTTTAAAGTTTCTATTATTAATACATAACTAGTGCACCTTTTTCGTTCTTTTTATTTCCAATGCAATTAAAATAGGTTTAATTTATCAAAAGACACTAAAACAACTCTCCTGACTCAGGATGGATTCGACGGCGTTGAGATTGGGATTGAGACTGATATGTTTCAAGCTTTGGGGAGGTTGTTGTTTTTTAAAATCAATAAAAGGTAAAAGTTCAGATTGCAAAGTGTAAATAACCAGCGAGATGTACAAGCAATAGCAGAGTTGTGTCAACATATTCCCCACCCAAGTTTGTTGATTAATCTTGCTGGAAATCAACTGTTTTTTAAACGTCAAATACACTGGTTTTCCAGCTGCGAGTACTGCTTTCAGTTTAGTCTTTGTTTCTCTTTTCGTATTGTTCGTAACTTGCGTGTTTTGCAATAATACTGAAATATAAATAACGGCCAAACACGTGGTCGTTTTGTAAAAAGACGCCAAACATATGAAAAAAATAACGCTAATTTAAATAAAAGTAAGTCTAATATTTGGATTAAGTGTAACAGCTGGACAAAATACGCTGGTCCAGGATATAAATTTGAAAGTTTGATGATATAACTTTATGGAATCGTCAATGCGTGTTTTGTAATAATACTGAAAAATAAATAACGGCCAAACACGTGGTCGTTTTATAAAAAGACGCCAAACATATGAAAAAAAACGCTAATTTAAATAAAAGTAAGTCTAATATTTGGATTAAGTGTAACAGCTGGACAAAATACGCTGGTCCAGGATATAAGTTTGATGATATAACTTTATGCAATCGTCGCTTTAAATGCTTTTAAATTTTCTGTTATTTTTAATATATAACTAGTTCACTTGTTAGTTATTTTAACCCTAATGCAATTAAAATAGGTTTTACAAATAAAAAGACACCAAAATAACTCTCTTAGCTCAGGATGGGTGCAACGGCTTTGGGATAAAGATTGAAACTGACATCTGCCAAGCTTTGGGCAGGTTGTTGTTTTATAAAATCAGTAAAAGGAAAAAATTCAATTGGCAAAGTGTAAATAACCACCCAAGATGTGCAACCAATAGCAGAGTTACGTGTCAGCATATCCCCTATATCTCTCCTGCTTATCCAGCTAGAAGACAATTCTTCTTGCAAAGCTTGGAGGATCATCTTCAAAACAGGTAGGTCAGCTATTCAGTGAGTTATGAACTCAAACTAAGCTCAAGACGGCCAGTACTTTGTTATATTTTATCTTTGAAAGTTTTGATCCCTTTTCACACTGAAGTAAGTAGCGTGCTGTCTATTTCTTTTTGCTCAGACTGTAATATCCAGGATTAGCACGGAAAACGATAGTTATGTTCGAAGATTAGAATATTTCAACTTCGACTTTAGCAATCAGAGAGAAGATTTGCCTATCGTAGGAAGGTTGTGGAATAAGTAACGAAACGAAGACAAGACAATTGACAGAATGTTTTTCATTTCCAGGTTTGCTCTGTTTGCGACAACGATTATTCGATTTTGACTGAACTTTGGTATGTAAACTGTTACCAATCGAATTCTTCTTCCATCCAACTATCCATTCATCCTTCCATCCACCTTCCATCCATTCGTCCATCAATCCGTCCGTCCATTCATCCACCATCCATCCAACCATATCTATTAATCTAATATGATCATAACAGTTCAACCCTATTTAAACCGGGGAAGTGTTTATTCTGACCACGCCGACTCTTAATCCGAAAAACTTCTTTTTAATTTTCGAGTAAACGCCATGAACCTTACTGATTTTTTCAGAAATTGATCTGGGAACAATTTGATGTGGTTGGTTAACGCTAATTACTTGATTTTACTACGGGAACCCATTTTCTCAAACAATAGAAAATGCCTTTTTAAATGATGATTTAAATAAAGAATAATTACTTTTCTCACAGTAACGTTTAAGTTTTTTTAGCTCATATTGTATAAATGTTCTTTTATTAGGTTAGATTACTTTTCGCTCAAGTTTTGTGCTTTCGTTCAATTTTGGGGAAAACCAATTTGGCGAACATAATCTTAATTATCATGTTATTGACAGATCTCAAAGGAAACAGCTTTACGACGGACTATTTATCCCCTAAATGTCATTTTCAAAGCTTTAAATGTCTCGGAGTTGTGAGTGGAGGATAAACCTTCTCCCCACCCAACCCTGCCCTAAAAGGCGAAAAAAAATAAACAGCCTAGATCGGGGTAAGTTAGTTTCCTGATTATGCTGATTGTAATGAATTGTCTTCATTCGAATCAATTTTAAGAATGAACCACTTTTTTCACCAGACCGGGAAACATGGCTATCAAGAAAACCACGTTGTTTGTCGTCGTCTTTATTATGCTCCAAGCAGTTTTGATGGCGAAGGGTAATTATTGATTCTAAAAAGAAATGAAATTGCGAATTAATGAATTCTAAGTTGAATAGATCACCCTAGGAAACTGAATGTAAGTTGTATGATTTCATATGATAGTTAGCTACCAATAAGCTGCTTAAACTTTACGGTTTTAGAAATTAACAACTATGGAGAAATAATAGCAGCCTACTTGGCAGGGGACATCAGCAATTCCTATACTTTAGCATATCGTACATCTTTTCATGTGAAACCAGGAATGATACGTTCAAAATTAAGTTCAAAGTTAAGTAGGCTATGTAAGGCCTTGGAAGAAAAAAGAAAAGAAGAATCTGTTGAGGGTTGATAAGGTCATAAAAGCTGTCCATGATAGCGCTAATTGCATTACATGCTATGTTCGCATGCGTTAAGTAATTTATGCATTGTTACATTTTTATTTTTAAGTGACGTTACATGTATGATTTGTCGTACTAAACAATGCTAAATTATGTAGTGTTGCATTTTTGTTAAAAGTCACATTGTATGTATGTTTTCTCGTATACAGTCGACATTCAGTATTACGAAAAACACGAAAAAAACAAAAAACAAATGGACAACATCCATTTTGTACGAATGACAAATTAGTCGGAGGGTTCGAGTTCCCGTTCTAGATTCAGGAGGACTGTTTCAGGTTTCATGTTGTTCAACGTGTTCAGCTACTGCCGAGAATGTAGATGAAGCGGAGGTATTGAGTAGTTGTTATTTTGCTAATTTTTCTGTAAAAGTTAAGAATTATCGGCGGGATGTAAGTATTCGAATGTATTAAAATAGTAAAGGGAATAAATTGTATTATGCAAAGCTTATTAAAATGCAAGTGTTTGATCTCAGATGAAAAACGTTTTGGATCTTAGATGAAAACCGTAAAGATCTCCAAATAGGCATCAGTCATTGTCTCATAAGTTCATGAATAATTAATAAATTTGAGAAGTGAAAATCAACCTAGTTTTTAAAACCGCTATGTTGTAAATATTTTAATTAAACTCTTGTTTCCTTCCTAGTTAGGCTATTTAAACGTTTATTGGCTGATTTTATTCCATGATACTCTTTCCTTGTTCAGGTTGTTGTCCAGACGGCTGGATTGGAAGTAACTGTTTCTGTTATTTCGTGAACGGTAGTAGTGAAGTGGAATGGGGTGATGCTCGAGAAATGTGCCAAGCGATGAACGCTGATCTCGCCGTTATCACATCGGAAACGCAAAATGACTTCCTCTATGATCTGATAAACTGGAAAATGCAAGACTCATGGTATGGTACCTGGATTGGGCTCGAACGAAATGCTACAGATGAAAACAAGTTCTATTGGGTTGATGGCACTCCACTAGCCGGGCAGTACACGAACTGGGCTAGTAGAGAGCCTAACAGCAACGCCGAGAAATGTGGCCTGTTTTGGGGACCGACAGCATCACAACCTAACAAGTGGAATGACGCCCTCTGCGATTTCTCCATTCGAGTTTCAGAAGGAAAGCCAAAGCCCCTTGTGCTTTGCCAGAAAGCAGCCGAAAGCGATTAAGTTGAGAGCCTGATTTGCATATTATAAGACCACAGTAGGTTAAAGCTGTTTAAGGGGCTCTGTAAGGGTAAATGGTTAGAATCGATTTCAGATATTTGTAAGAGCGTGGCAATCGTGCACTACATAATCAATATATATTGCATCCCACTGCTGATGAAGAAATAAAAGAGGTGTTGGGAATTCAATGTCGTAGTCTTTAAATAAATAAATAAATAAATAACTATTTGCAGGTAGCACATCCACTTAGTGGTTCTTCGTCTACCTGATTCCTGGTCGAATTGGAATTTGGAAATGTTGGTTTTTGAGGAGAGGGGAAAACCGGAGTATTCGGAGAAAAACCGGTCGGAGCAAAGGAGAGAACCAACAACAAACTCAACCCACATATGGCGTCGACGCCGGGATTTGAACCCGGGCCACATTGGTGGGAAGCGAGCGCTCTCACCACTGCGCCACCCTTGCTCCCTGTGGCGGTATGGTGCAATTTTATTGCTGAACTCCACCGATCCATCTTTCAAAGTTCAGAAAACAGTTAATAGCATTCGGGGTGCCCACTCTTATCAAACAAGCTGAAAATCAAAACAGCCCTCACGTGGCATCCGTAGGTCCTGGATGCGCCAGATATAAGGATTCCGAACTCTCCTCGAATCTAACCTTTGTTCGAAATAGAAAACTCCAGCTCTTCAATTTAGGACCATCACAATCACATTCAATTTTTTACATTTCAGTTTTTTGATTACCACCGCCTTCGACAAAAGCTATTCTCATTTCTTGTTATTTTGGTTTAATCCTGTTTACTTTGGACACCTTTCTCAACAGTCCCTTGTGAGTGTTCGAGATGGTGCACACTGCTAGGAATTTTTTTGATTTCCTTATTAGCATACGTGTGCCATTTTCTAATCAAGTAAAGGAAATGCCAATTCTGAATATTGAAAGGATATAGGACAATTACCTCCCCCCCCCTCTCTAAGAATGTCAGTCGGATATACCAAATATTCTTTTTAAAATGTGGTGTTAGAAGCTCAAAATTTTACAAAGAACGTATGGGCTAATTAATAGTCCTGCCACCCAGAAATTTTGCATTTTCTGATGGCTGATATTTCCACAAGTATCACACACAAAGAGCTAAAACTTGCACAGCCTACAAAATTTAACAAGCGCTTACAGCTTTTGAAGTAGATGTTTGTTTGGCATGATGCCTTTTCTATGAATTTTGTATGCTACTGAAGCAAGTGCTATATCCCAAAAGGATAGACAAATTTTATTTATGTATTCAAATAGATGCAGGGCCCCCTGAGGTGGATTGAGATGGCATGTCATGTAGGTACAGGAGAGGGTTTATAATGAGATGCAAGTTGTCCAGCTACAGTAGGGTTATCATGACACGCAGACTTATCGTTGTAAGTGAGGGATATGGTATCAGTACTTAATGAAAAGTGAGGAGAGAAGTGTGTAAGTGTGAAGCAAAGAACCAATGAGAAGACACTAATGTCATGGTCAAACGAGTTGGAACAAGTTGAGGGTTGCCTAGAAAAACCAGAGCAAACCAGTTTTCAACACTAATAGTATTCAAAATGGTCTCCTCAATATTATCGTACACTAGACAAACCCGTCAAACAGGTTTTTTATCCTTATCACTTTTCAAATTAGCAATCTCTTAGCTGTAATAACCCCCCCCCCCAAAAAAAAAAAGAAGAAGAAGAAGAAGAATAAGAAGGAGGAGGAGAGAACCATCATATTTATTCATCGTCAGTGGCAATGTTAATCTCGTGTATTATCATCGAAGAAGCAAGCTTAAAAGAGGGTCTCAATGGTCTCTGTTTCTGACATCTCAGCCATGAATTTTATCGTAGAGTGAAAGTTATTTGCCTTTTTCACAAAACTCTCTGTTTTCTAGACTTGTGTTCCATAACGAAAACACGTCGTCAATATACGGTCATATACCTTTTCCAAAAAAGAGGTTTGATGCAACTCTGACACAATATTTGTCTTTCTATTCTGGCCATGAAGATGTTTGCAAAAGCAACGGCCATCTTTGTTCCCATGGCTGTTCCATGGGTTTGTAGGTAGTTGCTACCGCAGAATTGGAAGGAGTTTTCTTTTAATATAAGGTAGAGAATTTCTCTAAGGTACTTACATAGGGGCTTTGTCTCCATAAAAATCTTCGTATGCGTAACATACGGTGGTTACGCCCTCTCCGTGTGGTATGTGTTGGTGTAGAGACTAATAACGTCCATAGACACTAGGACTGTATTTTTAGGCAATTTTGTACTCTCAATAAAATTCAGGGAGTCGGTCGTATCTTTTAGATACGAGTCTTGTTTCTGTGCTATTGGCTGAATGAGTCGATCTACAAATGCAGATATTCGCTCCGTGGGGCCATCGCACCCTGATATTATAGGTCTACCGACAGGCGTCGGTTTGTGAATCTAGGTAAGTGTGTAGAAAATAGGGGTACGCGGAGGATTAGGCGTTAGGGATAGCCATTTGGCTGCCATATGGTCAATGTGGCCTTCCTGCAGCAGCGACTAAATTAGCTGCGTAGCTTTTCTGGTTGTGGTTTGAACCATAGGTTGAGTGAGGGATTGAAAATTGTTCTTCTCATTCAGCAAAGCTAAACCCTCGTTTATCTTACTTTCTTTGCTCATCATGACGGATGTTGTTCCCTTGTCTGCCTTTTTGAGTATAATGGTTTTGTCAGGCGACAATTGTTTGAGTGCTTGTAGCTCTCCGGGTGTGAGGTTAGGTTTTGGTTTCTTGAATTGAATCTCTGCGAGCTCTAATTTCACTTCTTCTAGGAAGCTCGAAGGTTCCTAAAGCCACGGAAGACTGGACTGGTGGAGTACAGTCTGATTTCACGTGAAATGGATGTGGCTCTCTTTCTTCTGTTCACCAAAATATATGTACTGGAGGCGTATTCGTCTAGCAAAGAAATCAAAATCTTTTAGGAGTTCTCCCCTGATGTTGCTTTCTGTTGTTACGGGTCCTTTCGGGTGGATAATTTTTAACCCTGGGAGAGCAGAGTGATTTGCTCATCTGTCAGTTGTTCATTTGACAGGTTTCTGATGTGTTTTCTGTGTGACTCAATTATGTTGTTGTAACGCATTTTCCCTTAGTTTCTATTGCGTTCTTTTCGTTATCTTTTTGCTACTGATGGTTAAACCGGTGGGTTCCAGTCAGATTTAACGTAGAAAGGGTGAACTTCCCTATTTTTTCCGTGGAACGTATATTTTTCGATTTGCTCTTTTTAGCATTAAGTTAACTTGTGTGCGTGTTGTTCAAGCGTTTGACCAAAAACAAATTTTCTCAAAATATTATCAAGAGATTACACCGGCCCTGAAAATAGCTCCTATGGGTTTCCGCCTTTACCCAACCCCACCCATTTTCATCCATTGTGTTAAGTTTGTTTTGTTATGTTATTAGTTATCGAGTAGTTAATAAAATCAAAAACTTGTAATATTGTAAATTATTAATATTTAATAAAAATTAGTATCATTGTTAATCATTAATTATGATTAAAAATTAATTTTTAATCATTACCCACACCCACGACTTTTACCCACACCCACACCCACACCCACGACCCACGACTTGTACCCACGACCCACGACCCACGACCCACGGCCCACGACCATTAGACAAACTCACTGGTTGGCTTTTAAAGAACTTGATCGTGACCATTGTTTTTATTCAGTGGCTTTGCGCGTTGACATGCTAACGTTTAAACCAGACTGGAACATTAAATTTTTGTTATAAAAGCAAAGAGGCCGCTGAAACTACACTGTCCCAAAGTATTCCTTTTCATTCGTGTACTTTCATTTTCATGCACTTGGGGTCTGTATGATGAATTTACTACATCAGTACGTAAACAAGATGGAGATTTAAGGTGATTCCTGAGTAAAAGAACTTAACATAGATTGAGATGAAACTTGGTACACTGACGTAACAGGTCAAGAAGATGATAAAAAAGTAATAAAAAGTGGGGGTCACCGTGCTCGTTTTGACGTCACAATGCTGACAAATATGGCTATTTTGGACCCTTTGACAAAAACCGCGCTCGGCCCAAAACTAGACAAAAAGGAGAGATTTTTTCGATGATACATGTGGTATCGCACAGAATTTGACTTTAATGTATTGTTTATCTACTTACATACCAGAAAAATACTTTTTAATGCCCTTGTTTTGACTTTACGCTCCAAAGTAGAATTAAATTGGACACGCGCTATTCGACCCATGATAGCTCAATCCGTACAATTTAGAAAAATTGCCAAAAAACTGAAAATAGATTTGTGCCAATTTTTTTTCCTATCGAAAGGAAGCACTGTCCTTATTAAAATCATGAAATAAAAAATGGGGGTCACCATACTCGTTTTTGCGGAAGAGCTACAGAAAGTGCGCACCAAATGCTTTTTCTCCGATTTTTGAGAGAGGACTGGGGCGAGTTTCAACATAGAATGTATGTAAAAGCGGGAAGAAAGTATTTAAAAATCAGTTTTTACAGAATTTACATCGAGGTATCACATTTAGGACACAATGTGATAAAGAAAGCGTTTAAATGAAATCGAGTAAGCACAAGTTAAACATCCACTATCGAGGTTCTCCGTGAGGAAGTCGAACTCAGCAACACGCGTACTGCTTACGTTATGCACATTCCCAACACATTGAGTGTCACCTCGGCAAGAAACAACCGCAAGCAAAACTTCCAATAGCGTTTCTCTTCAGTCAACTTCATTTTAATAATGTTACTTCACATGCTCGTTTTTACGGCGGCCATCTTGTCATGCGCAGTGCAAAACCAGGAAATCACCTTAAAACATTTCATTTTGCTTTGTGGAGTAAATTCATCTTTAAAAAGTCCAACTGGTAAACCACTTTCTTCGCGTACTTGTAAAAATGAGCATTTAATATGTCTAAAGTGTGAAAATTTTCTTGTCGTGTATTAGATTTCACGTGGTCAGCATCTATGCAAATTTATTGGAACAAAAGAAAGCGTTTACATAAGA